AGTAGCTAATTTGAAATCTTTTTTTTTCATGATTTAGAAGAAAAAAAACTGGACGATCAAGAATAGTTTCATATTTCATCAATGTTTTTTTTTTCATATCTTAGAAAGACATCATATATATAAACAATATATCATTCATTATGTTCATCTTAATAACGTTTCGAGTTTTCTTATAAAAAAGTAGTATTAAAAATACAAAATAGTACAAAAACAACATTAACTGTTAATCACAATACGTATAGATTAGTAAAGACGTTTTCGTTTAATCTTGTGACGAGTACCAACATGTAAATTTGTATCAACTAAAGAATTAATACCATTTTATGAATCATCATCATTATCACATGTTAATGCTTTGTTTCTTTACGAGTTTTTTTTTGAAAAATGTTCAGATTTTTTTTGACAATCAACATTTGATGAAGATTTTCGAATTATATCATCGGGCTTATGCACAGAAAGATTATAACATTTTTAAATTCATGTACAAATATAATACTTTCTCTGTAGATGTAATAGTATTATTGATGTTTAAATTATTATTATGTAATAGATAAACATCATCAAGTGGAGTAGATAATAAATTAGAACTAGCTTGTGATGAAGATTGAGTATCATTAGTAACAGCTGAGTGACTATTTGAAACCAAATTTGTACTTTCACAGATTTTTCGATTTTGTTCAGTATAAATTTCAATATTCTTTTCCTTGATTAGACTACGCATTTTATTTGATAAATATCTTGTATCACCAAACATGATTGCATATAAAAATAGTATTGCTCGACCATTTTTAAGAAAATTTAGTTCGAAAACGATATACATTGCTAGTACAAGTGCTAATCCATCATCAGGTGATGTTGTTGAAATAATTGAAAGAAAATCTGTAAACACAGTGATTGTATTATCAGTAAACACCATTGATGGATATAGACTTGATGGTGACTAGAAAAAAAGTATTCACGATTAGCAAACCAAAAAATGCTTGTGTGCTATATATTCACAATATATTGATTATTCTGGCCAACTCGTGTGAAAATATGCTGAGACTATCATATCATTCTACATAAATTAATTTATTATAAACTGGGCATTTTTTTATTAAGTGATATTTTGTTTAACATTAGACTGACAATTAAAAAAATGAAATTATTAATTATATATATTTGACTTGTATTAAATTAAAGTGAAAGAAATTTATATTTATTTTGTTAAGACTTTTTTCGAAAACACTTGATGAATGTTAAAACTATTTTGTTTTACTTCGAAATCATTTTATATCGTGTAAATCTTATTCTGAAGAAGAACATTGAATTTGCAGTACATGAAAACTAAAATAAATTTATATTTATTCCAATTAGAACAAAATAATTTTACGTTCACCAAGTGTTTTTGAGAAAAAATCTTAACGAAAGAAATATAAGTTTGCTTTACTTTGATTTAATACAAGTCAAATATAAATAATGAATAATTTTAATTTAATTTTAAGTTTAATGTTAAAAAATAGGTTTCGTAACAAGTATTTATATTATAATAATTTAAGCTGAAATTGATTTATATTTATTCGCTTTAACATTTTTATACAAGAAAAAAATTAATTGAAAATATTTATCTTTTTTAAGAATATTACTTTTCATCTTTATTTAATTTATCTATTAATATCTTACATAAAATTGAATTTTAATTTAAGATTACGATAAAATCTTTTTTTTTTGTATGAAAATAATTTTTTAGAATGTGCAACGATCAAAATTATCTTAATGCATACAATAATAATTTTTTTGAAACTTTTTTGTTATTATTTAAATTGATTCCTTAGAATAAATCGTCGCAAAATATAAAACTTTAAAAAGATCTCCAAATACGAACCGAGTTATTTTTTTATGTAAAATAATTTTTAAAAATTTTTCTCAATAAATTCAATATCAGAATATCAGTAACACAAATGCTATAAAAGACGATTCATATCCTTTTTTTTATCCAATCGAAATTGCTGATATCAAGAATTTGGCTGATGTTCGGAAACAAAGTTAATAGAATAGTTAGTAAAGTGCATTATGATGCACTTCTCAGTACGCTGTGCGTCATGCTAATGCCAAAATTTTACAATAATCAAAGAATAGTCAACATCCAAAAGTGGAAAAGTTATTTTTTATATCATAGAACAAGAAGCTTTTCATGAAAAAGCATACTAATATCCCCTTGAACATAGAACAAAAACTTTTAATCAAAAGGAATGTTGATATATTCTCGAATACAAAATAAAACACCCTTTTCATGAGAAGATAGAACAATAAACTCATGACCGTAGAATAATAAACCCTTTTCATGAAAAGGTAGAAGAATAAACCCTTGGCCGTAGAATGATAAACCCTTTTCATGAAAAGGTAAAACAATAGTCCCTTGGCCGTAGAATAATATACCCTTTTCATGAAAGGGCAGAACAATAGTCCCTTGATCGTAGAATAATAAACCCTTTTCATGAAAAGGTAGAACAATAAACCCTTGACCATAGAATAATAAACCCTTTTCATGAAAGGGTAGAACAATTAACTCTGGACCGTAGAATAATAAACCATTTTTACGAAAGCGTAGAACAATAAACCCTTCTTCACTAGTCATAAACCCTTTTTATTTTCAAATACCCTTTTTCTCAGAAACCCTTTCGCACAAAAACCCTTTAAGGGTTTAATACACCAGCATAAACCCTTTAAGGGTTTAGGAAGATTTTCCTAAAGTACTAGGGTTTATTATTCCACGAATTTTTTTTACAGTGCACATCCACACACCCACACACCCACACCCACACACCCACACCCACACACGCACACCCACACACCCACATCCACACCCACCCACACCAACACCCACACCCACAGTATACTGAAAAATAGCAACTGGCCAGCAATGCAATTCGCTTCCCAGATTTTTTCAGAACTTTAAATCAAGTTTTAGTTTGTTATTTGACAGAGCATATCATCCAGAGCTCGGAGCGAGGCAAATTTTCGCCGCCTCGGTTCGATTCACTTCGGAGTTTTCATGGTAAAACTGTGTTTACCAAATTCATACTATTTTATGAAACTTGCATTTTCAGTGTTTGTATTTCTCTTAACTCATTTTCTGGACACTCGAGAAATGTTTTATGAAGTTTGAACGGATAGGCTAACATAGAAAAGAATATCATCTTACTTCTTTTTTTTCTACACTTTTGAAATATGATTGATTTAGAGAGTTTGACTAATAGATTAGGATTTAGGTGAACGCTTCATGAAATCAGTTAATATCACTAATTGTTTTTTGCTCAATTCTAAGATATAATTTCAGTGTTATTTATTTCAACGAAACAATGCAGCCTTAGTCTTCAGGCTTAAATATTCAGAAACGCGTTTCGTTGGCTGTTCAGTTCCAGACCACTTCATCTGACAATTTGCATTCTTTTACTTATTACCGAATCTCGTTTATCGTACTTTAAAGAATTGTGTTTCGAATGAAAGCTAAGTTCTTTTCAGTTTTCGGTGTCAGGAACTGGTGTATTCAACAACTTTGACACATTCTTTAAAAGATCTATCTTAATAATCGACTTCTATCATTTCAATATTTTATATGAAAACTAATTGTTTTCAAAATAATAACATGACATGCAATTTATGATTAACTAAGTTACTGGTCATTTGTAAAAACATCGATGCCACAACGAACAATGGACTGTATGTGACAAAAGATTGAGTCAATCCACTTTTTAAAGTATCAATACAGAAGATAGCAGTTGCATCTTGAAACTAAAAGTATGGATAGAAAACTGTCTATGATATCACATATTTTTCGGAGGAAATAATGATAAAATTAATAAAAAAAAAAAGATTTCGATTTAAAACAAGCGGGAAGGCTAAATCAACCGAAGTAGCACTTTTCAAATCGCTTTGCTTCGTTTCGAGCTTTGAGATGTAGCGATTTGTGCTGTCAGTCTTTCAAATTACTAATTACTTGAGGAAAACTCGGATCATTCAGCAATCCATGTGGTGGTCAACCAGAACATATCGACATATATGGCCAGGAGTTTTTTCTCTTTGAGTTTTTCCGGAAAAAATTATGCAAGTGCATGCAGCAGCTTGTCCTCTATCTTACTGGTACACTTTCAATTGGATTTGAGAGGGTGGCAGATTTCGAACCTTATCCGACGATGTCCTTTTTGCATCTGAAATACGATCATGAGATCAATGGAGATGTGTATGATATTTTCAACATAGTCCAGCATCTGAATTTAGTATGATTCACTAATTTGTTACTACCCAGTCAAAAGCAATAGTTTAAAAAAACACGTGTATTTGCAATAAATTTTTTAAAACATGCATAGAGATGCATGTCGCAAACATCTATGCAAATACAAATTTTGAAGTTTTTTAGTAGAATATACGAGACCATGCATGCGCTGATCTTTCACATTTATGCAAGATATATGATTCACGTGAAAATGTCAAAGTATCAGCTGTGGTTACCCGCAAAATAATCAAATCATCTCCAAATCGTGCATGTCGATGCAATAAAAGTCTATTTACAAAAACTAATAGCGAAGTGATTCTTCGTCAACATGCAAAATTTTACTATTTTGTGGTATAGGTGCTGTTTCATACAAGAATTTTGTTTTTCATCAATGTTCAAAAAACAAAATATGTGTGTTGGAATCTTATTTTATCTTTGCAAAACAGCTCTTGCATGTTCATATTTCTAGATAATCAAATGGGTATTTCTCTCCCAAAATGTTCGTTTATCGTAATTTATTTTTTCTTAAGTTACAAAAGAAAACCATTTTAATTCATTTCAACTTTTATTTGAAATTGAAACTTCGTTAATCCTTTGACAAAACATATATCTATTCTTTTCTTTTTTCCTTCTTCATGACGACGAAGCAAAGAAAAGCAAATAAATATAAATACACATGCTACGTTTTCTCGTTATATCACTTACCATTTTCTTCGATCATTTAATCTCTGTTCTAACAGCATTTATGTCGACATACAAACTTTATTATTTTAATAATCGTGATCGTGGTGAAATATGTCGTTTAATATTTGCTGCAGCTGGTCAAAAATATGAAGATATTCGTTATGAAGATGATGAATGGTTATTACATAAAGCTGAAATGCCATTAGGTGAAATGCCTGTACTTGAATTTAATGGTACAAAATTACCACAATCAAAATCTATTGCTCGTTTTCTTGCTAAATAATTTCAATTAGCTGGTAGAAATTATTTTGAACAAGCCAAAGTCGATGCTGTCGTTGATACAATTGAAGATTTAATAACAAAATTAATACCAGTTTTCGATGAACAAGATGATGACAAAAGAGAAGAACTTAGTAAAAAATTCTTTAGTGAAGAACTTTCTAGACATTTAAAAAATCTCGATGTTTTACTTAAGGAGGCCCTTCCCCCCCCCCCCCCCCCCTCAGAAAAGTCAATTTTGGTCAAATTTATCGATTTTGTGATTTATAACTCATTAGATAGAGCAAAGTGTCTACTCTCGAATGCACTATAGTTGATTGATTTTATGATGAGATTTAAGGATATTACATAGGTTTTTCTGAACCACCCTATTGAGAAAAGTAAGGTTTTTAAAAACTTATTCTCCGTTTTTCTCAAAATCAATCTTTTCGAGCATACCGTTTACGCGGGCAAACCTTACTCAATAACAACTCAACATAAAAGTGGTAATGTTTTTTTTGTTATAGAGCAGACACTTGGGGCTAGGTCGTAATAGAGCCCGATTTTTGAATTTCTCCTTTGTTTAAATCAAAAACTTAGATCTTTGATTTTAATTAGCGATTTCTTGGCCACGAATTTGAGAATTTTTCGAAAATGTTTTTTTAAAAACCAAACAAAGGGAAATTAAAAAATCGAGCTCTATTACGACCTAGCCCTAGGGGCACTCTACAATTTAAAAACGACGCCGACATGCTTAGCTAGTATCCTCATGTTGAAAACCTTGCCCGCGTAAAGGGTATTTTTGATCAATGAATTGACTATAACTCGTGAATGGCTTGCAGATTACGGGAGATATTTTAACCATAATCTATTCTAGCAAAGACTAACATTCTCTGAAATTTTGGTTGAAATCGGATGAAAAATAACAAAGTTGGTTTCTGAGGGGGGAGGGGACTTAAAGAATTTGATAATCATTTACCATGGGCTGATTTATATTTTTATAATTTTCTCGAAACTATTCTTGGAATTAATGAAAATTGTTTAGATAATTATCCATCATTAAAACAAAATCGAGAAGAAGTTGAAAAACAGCCAAAAATTGCAGAATATCTTAAAAATCGACCTAAAACATCAATTTAAACAAACATTATTGATGGATATTCATAGATGATTTTTTATTTGTTCTTCTTTTAAAACGTTTTTTTGTTGAACTAAAAAAAGCTAAAATTGATGAAAAGAATTTCAATCGAAACGAGATAGTGAATGATAATATTTTCATTTTTGTCGTTCCACATTGTTTCCAGTGTTAGTTGTTACTATCATTCTGTTGAAAGATGTAAAGGATTGTAGAGCATGTTACCGGTAAAATGTTGATTGTAGAAACGAGCGAAGGAGCACGTGTAAGCCATTTATATAGACATATAAGTACCAATGCATAGCTAATTATCTATCTTTCAACTCTAAGCAAGAATCTTTTTATCGCTCTATAATTAATAGGAAGACTCTTGAGTGAACTTCAAGACGAAACGAATTCTATCTGATACGTTAAAGAAAAAAAAAGAATTTGGAATGAACAGAGGCTGTGTCATGGTCTATGGGGCGGAGGAGGAGTTCAATTTTCTTGCTATAACAATCGTGTTTCACACATAAAATGAAGAACGACTCAAAACTCACAAGAGTATCTCTATTTGTGTTTACAAGGACGAAATCTAACAGCGAAGATTGATAAATAATGAGATACCTGTTTGAAGAAAAGGATATCAATTGAAAATCATCGGACTATTTCGTATTAATCAACAAGGAAAAAATTAAATTCGTCTGCATAAAAAATTAGCACCTGCGGTTTCTATAAATGATTTAAAACTAGCAATTTGAAATCGACTAAGATCTCTTTCGTATTTTTCATCGCCAATCGCCAACATGGCTATGATTTTGCCTAATAGAATAGTAAATTTAAAACCATGTCCAGAACATCCACTAACTAAGAAAATATTTGGTTGATTAGGTACATGATCAATGATAAAATCAGCATTGGGTGTATTCGTATAGATACATGTTTGACTATGTGTTACATTTTTGCCCAAATTAGGGAAACGTTTTTCTGCATATTGCCGCATTTGATCGATATAGTCATCGTCGACTGGTCGTCGATGAGCATCCAAATCGGTGATAGTCTCACCCAAATCATCTGAAGCTAATTTGATTCCTTCGATTTGACCATCACTTGGAAAACCATAACAGTTATTGGCGTCACAATCTATCCATACAGGAAATGTCCCATCGGCTTGAAAATATTCTTCATGATCATTGATATTAAGATAGACAATTTGTTGTCGAGTAAGTCTAAGTGGTAAATTAAGATCTTTGAAAAGACGACTCATCCATGGACCAGCTGTAACAATTACTCGATCAAATTCTTCATCAATAGTATCGTCCGATGAACATCGAACCAAGATTTTGCCATTTTCGGATGATGAAACAATTTCAATAACTGGCGTTTGTTCATGAACAATAGCTCCATATGCTTTAGCCAAACGAATATTCGCTTGAACACATCGAGTTGCACGCAAGAAACCACTGTCTTTTTGATACAATGCAACTTCGTCAGGTTCTAATTGAAATGCAGGATATTTAACTTTGATTTCCTCGGCGTTTAATCGATCGTATGGCAATTGTGCATCGATTAAAGAGCGTTCTGTAGCTGCAATATCAGGATTATCTTTATGGCCAAAATAGAGACCACCACAAGGGACAAACAATTGTTCTTGTGCATCCTTCTCTAATTCGTCCCATAATCGATATGCATCGCCTACTAGTTGAGTATACAAAAGATCAGGATACGTATATCGAATCATTCTCGATTCACCATGAGAACTGCCATGTACATGTCCTATATGGAATTGTTCATAGCCAACAACTTGATGACCGGAACGAGCAAGATGACGAAGTGCTGCACTACCCGTTCCGCCAAGACCGACAACAGCAATTTTCATCTAGAAAAAAAGCACAACTACGTTCATTGAAAGATGTAATAAGGCAAAAAACATCTAATAGGTTGTTCGACTTTTTCTGTTCGTTATGTACTCACACATAATTTACGTATAACTTATTCTGCATCTTGATATTGTCATGTTTTTAATGTTTCTGATTCACGGAGGTATTCTTAGGTCCTCAAGAACTATATTTTAGGGGTACCTTTAGGTCCTCAAGGACTATATTCTGAGAGTACCTTGAGGTCCCCAAGGGTTATATTTTAGGGGTACCTTTAGGTCCCCAAAGGCTATATTTTAGAAATAACGGTAGGCCATCAAGTGCTGTGTTATGGGATACGATCTATGGGGAATCGCTATGGCTATGTGCAAATTTCTGCCTCTTTACTTGAAGACTACTTGTAGGTCGTGTTTCCAAAAACTGGTACTCAATTAAGGCGGAACAGCAGAAAACAGGAGGTCGGTATTGTAAAATAGCAAACGAAGCTGTCTATTAACATAAAATACAATAACGTTTCGTGAACTCTGATCCTACTAATTAAGTATCAGTCCATTGTAAATTGGCCAAAAAGGGTCGCTTGAAAAACTCACAATAGTTCTGTGCTTCTCATTTTTCTGTGTGTTAAACGCACCACCAACAAAGAAAAAAAAGAATTCTTCCTTTTGCTCACACATAGATTCAAACTACTAGCCCCACAAGAAACACATAAACATACAGTCATTTTCGGTATTAAGACCATGGCAATAGTCAAGGTAACAGGATACTTCTTAAGGACCAATGGGTACCACTAAACGGTAGCACCTTAGGACCTAGGGGTAGTCCTATAACGTATCCCTTGAGGACCTAAGGGTACCTCCATAATATAGCCCTTGAGGACCTAAGGGTACCTCCATAATATAGCCTTTGAGAACCTAAGGGTACCTCCAAAATGTAGCCCTTGAGGACCTAAGGGTACCCCATAATATAACATTTGAGGACCTAAGGGTACCCCTAAAATGTAGCCCTTGAGGACCTAAGAGCACCCACAGAATACAGCCTTTGAAGACCTAAGGGTACCTCCAGAATATAGCCTTTGAGGACCTGAGGGTACGTCAAGAATATAGGCCTTGAGAACCCAAAGATACCCGCAAAAAATGTTTTTGCTCTTACATATATTCGAACTACTGCCCTACGGACACATAAACATAGAATCAAATTTGGGGTTACAATCCTGACTACAGACAAGGAAATAGTGAAGTAGAAGGGGAGTACGATGGGAGTACAGGGAAGTACAGGGGGAGTACAGGGAAGTACAGGGGGAG